CACGGTTACTCTTTGACTAATAATGGAAATAAACTCGACTCCGTTTGACTAATAAAACTCGATTTCTCTGTGTTATAATTACACAGAGACCTTAGGGAGCTTATGTTTGTCACGATGTGTAGGCAAGCGTGAGTCGTCCCAAAGGGCGAGAGAGATTACAGTGCTGTATTTGTATAAGTAATTATACTTGTATATAGCGTCTCGCTTCGTTGATCTTGTTGTGGGTACGTGCTGCTTCACAATAATTAGAGACTTAAATTTTGTTTCTACTAGTTGCATCCCGCAGCGTTACCTGTCTTAATTAGTATGTAAAGGGCCGAGAGCGCAGTGTGTAGAGTGGCTCTAGATAGTAATGGTGACAGTGTGAGGGTAGTCGAAGAAACTGCGCGAGCTGTTAGACAAAGACGCCGCTCACTTCAGTCCTGTCGTGACCACGACGTGGTGCAATCCACGTAGAAACGTCGGCTATAAAGAAGCAGGTATATAGGTACTTATTTTTTATGAGTGATAATGGTATGGAGACTCCGCCTGCGCTATCGGTATACACTGGCAGGGCACCAGTGATAGATGACAGATGAGGATGAAACTAAGTCAGTTAGCCCATCTTGACGAAATCAACTTGAATTAAACACGATGATTTCCAAGGGAAACCACTTGGAGGTCGACCTGATAGAGTATATTGCTAGTAATGTGGCTATTTAACCCTATTACTAACAATCCGTTTCCCTCCGGTATATAAGGTACTATTAACCTGTAAAGGCTTTTACATCGCGTTTAAGTCCCGATTGTGTATATTAGTATGTGAAGTATCATGAGTAGGTGAGTTGGGATATAGTATACATATGTACTAAATGTAATTCAAATCCATTTGATAGTTTTTGCGTGAAAAAGTAACAAACATACATGCATACCTACATTGTTACAAACTTTCACATTTATAATATTAATAGGATATTAAATTTATTTATTTTTATTTTTAATAGTGAAATTACAAGAGTTAAAGGCATATGCCATAATTCTCAGAAATGGATATCCATGAATGGTAACATGGGCATTACAGGATATTCTGTGATATTCGCCCAAGTCTATAGAGGACTATTATTGTCCATCAGGTGGACCGTCAGCGTGTTAGCTGTACTAAGTTGCAATAAACAACGTTTTATGATAGAGTATCGAGGCATAACAACATAGTGTATTGTAAGCAATAGAAAATCTTTTATATTCATTATTCTGTTGAATCAATAGATGACGGTCCATCAGAAGATTATCATTTTGTAGTCTAGTATTATTTAACTCCTTAAGATTGTTTACTTCATTTCATACTGTATAATTATGTTAAAGCAAATGCTGTGAATACCTTTAAAAGTCATATGCATTAATATTGTATTTAATGTTTGTTATACATGTTATAATGCAATATGCTGTTAATGTTTCTATAAATAAATAAATAAAATAGTTGTATAAAAAAATCATACGTGAAACATCATCCTCCTTTATTCGCCAGTCGAGTGAAAAGAAAAGCGAATTATTCCTCCATAATGTGAAAAAAATCTAATGTTGAGTTAAACTACATATTAAAGTCCATAAAAAGTTTATATCTACTAACTCGGGGATTTGCGGTGGTCATACACTTATATTAAGAAAACGGGCTAAACTAGTGTAGAAAAAGAAATTTATTATTTAAATTTAATTTTAAAACGAACACGTTTTAACTGCCACTGCTAAACCTCCTCCTTAGAGGGGGGGGGGGAGGGTGGTTGTCAGTAGTAGGCACGCTTGGCAGACGGATTGGCAACCGCGCTTAGGCATTTTAGATGTTTCTAAAGGGACGTCGCTGGCCATCCCTCGCCCTTTCTTATTCGACACTTACGACACCCACGGGAAAGGAAGGGGTGGCCTATTCTATGCCGGGACCACACGGCGATATTATTATTATACTGTACCACTGATAAATTCAAAATCTTACTCTAGATTTAATTTTTAAATTAATTTTAAAAATATTCCATATTTTAATGTCAAAATTTTTCTACAATCTTTTTCTTTTCTTTAGTCCCAAGCTTAGTGATTAACGTAACAGCATTCGATAAAACCGTTCCGTACATAAATATATAAATATGATATAAAATAATATTATATTATATATTTAATTTTTACTGAATATTATTTATATCTATAATTTTATTTTTATTAATTTTATCTTTAACTGTACGGTTCTTACCCTTGTACATTCTACAGTTTTCTTTCAGCTTCTCAAAGGTTGACTGTAAGAGATCCCTTTATGGGATAAGTCCGCCATTGTATATTAAATCTTTTAATGTATCCAATATAAATTATGTACAATAAAGATTTTCACAATACAAAATAATGTTTATTGCATTTCCATACGTACATATATACCTTATATTATTGATACTACAATTTATAATTTCTTATTTTGTTATGGACCATAATTATGATTAAAAATTGATCCGCATAACTAAGTTTGTTTTTGGTGGATTTTTTATGATTTTTCAAAAGATTCTTCGTCATCAAAAAGATTCTTACAATTTTGATTATAACTGATAAACTATGCATCATAAAAATAAATAAAAATCAATTTAAAAATGTACCAATGAAGCTCTTTCATACAACATCTCATTTGGACTAGCAAGACAATTTTAAAATTTTGAGTATCCATTTCGAACTCCCTAAAAACAATTTTGAAATATTTATATTAAAATATATACGGGCTAATGAAATGTAAAACAATTACAAATTTCAAATGGATAACTATAATAGTTGCTAAAATATAGTACTGTGACAAACGGACGGACGGATAGACAACCACAGTCGCATTACAATGGTTTCTTTATACTATTACGATACGGAACCCTAAAAATTTATCAAAACAAATATATGCGTCGCCTACACTAATCTTATACCTAACTCAAAGGCACAGTAAATTTCCATCTATCCAAATACAGATGTACAGTTAATTAGTATATGTGTATATATGTAACAGTGTTTTTATTTAAAATGAATTATTAAGTGTTGCCATCTCCACGTTAACTGCGCAGTAAAACGGTAAAAATGCGGCAAAGCAGTTAAATGAAAAATTACGCCCGTCGTCCACGGTCTAGTGACCCCCGGGAAAATTAACCCTTGCGCCGTGAAAAATGCAACCGTTTTGTCAGCGTTTAATTCATCATAAAAAGGCCGGTGTTTAGCGAGAGAAGTGGTCCATATGTTCTAATGTACGCACTTTTCAACTGGCTTCAAAAAGACTTTTTGTTGTTTTCTCCAAATCATTACAGTAGTAAATGTATTATAAATGTTAATGTAAAAGCCCGTACATTGGTAAATATTAATTTAACAGTAAATCTTAGGATTTACCAATATAAGTTGGTTGGTTGTGAGGACTTTATACAAACAAGATCATTTTTGTATCTTTTACCAAACTAAACTTTTTTTTACGTGGGTAAATCCTCATAGAGACCCACACACCCCGGGGGAGGCATGTGGATACTGCCGGACTCTTACCGACTAAAACCACCACGTGTTCCCTAACCACGAACGGTAGCGTTGCTGCGGTTCCGATTTATTACTACTCCGCAATAACGCCAACGTCGTTGCTCAACCTCATTCCAAAGGAGGGGGAAAGGGATTGTTAGTAATGGAGACTGAGAATCCTATTGCTAGCAATATACTCGTACTCAACCAGGTCGACCTCGTCGCGGTTCTCTCTGGAAACTATCGTGGTTAATTCCTGATGAATTCATCATGATGGGCTAACTGGCCTGTTTTCATTCTCATCGATCACCCTTTACTGGTGCTCCGCCAGCATATCCCGTTAGCGCAGGCGGAGTTACTATACCATTTTCACCCATAAAAAAAAAAACCTATTCCAAGGAGGGGAGCCCGCCTCTAGAAGCCTAACTCCCAGTCCATCTCTAAAGAAGACGTGCCGAAACAAGAGCACGTTCCCCAACTCAGAGGCCTTTTCATTACCAAACTAAACCTAACCTAAACTACCTTTCTGACCATGCATGAACAACACACACTGATCATTTTAAAGTCTAAAATTATGTAAAGAAAAGAAATCTAAAAAACGTTAGATCGAATAAAAAGTAACAATAAAACCTCGAAATTCCCACAAAAGCCTTTTCAGCGGAAAGTGATAATGATGTTACCAACAACGACTATCATTCGGTAACTGAACCGGGCTTACTCGGATTTAATACTGCGGAAATATGCAGGATTTTCACAGATTTGCAGCGTGGATCCACTGAGACCATTTAATTTAAACGTTTCTAAAGTTATAAATGGCTCCGAATGAAGACGTGTGACTTTCGTAGATAATTTTAATTAGTGAAGTGCTTATGTTACAAGTGGATTTGACTTTGGAAAAACATCGACTTCAACCGTAACTTCACTATTCTAATTTTAAAAAATAAATTAAACACACCGATGTAATCATTATCATTGTTTTTTTTTTTCTACTTTTGGTTTGACATACCATTTTATTGATATCAAATTTAAAATATTTGGATTTAGAACGCAGAATTGTGTTTTCTAGTAAATATTACTTAGGAAAGAAAAACAGATAATACAATGATTTATAATAAATAGGCAAATGAAGTGAAATGGTTAATATATACCAAAAATAATATAGGTACATCTTGTTTTGAATTGCATTCATATATTTTTGTTGAATACATCCAATCGACTCACTATCCAATAACGGATATATTAAATAGCAATTATTAAATATATAATGTTGAAATGAAGATTTTATGATGAAAAAAAAAGTAGCGGTTACACCGCTGTTTTTTTTTTTTTTTTTGAAAGAAAATATGCTTCGACTAAAATATTTCAAGATTAATATATTTTTGTTCTAAACATTTCTTGTAATGTGGTCAATAAATAAAAAAAAAATTAAATATGTAATTTTTAGAAAAAGCAACAGCTGAATGTCTTACCCGTTGTTCTTAGCTGAAATTACATTACGAATAGGCGGTAGAATAAAAAAAAAAATACTATTAAAATCAGCTTAAAAGTTTATTCAAATAAAAATAAATATATTTCTAACTTTCTTTCTTTTATTATAATAATAAAACAAGTTCTTTATTTATCTTGTTATTCTTAAATTAATCCATACAAGGATTATCAATTTGTATTCGGCCATCCACTTCGCTGTAGACCGGCGTATGGCGGGCGATATAGTCCATGAGTACAACGTAGTCCACTCCTATGACTTCTATATTCATTCGGTTATTTGCCACCATCTATAAATAATAAACAAGAGTCGTAAGAGGCGACTAAAGGAACTTAATGGTCGTGAAATTGACAGCAGCATCCCTCAACCTACCTGCGTTTGCCAATCCGCCTGCCAAGCGTGGTAACTGCTGGCGCAACCCTTCCTTTATAAGACAGACTTATGTTCAGAAATGAACAATTATGGCTGATATACTACTATTGTTTTACTGAGTAATACAGAATCTTTTTTAGTACTGTAAAATATCCCAATCCCGTGGGATCACACAAAAATTCACCACGTGAGTGACATCACAAGCACAAAGAGTCATAAATATAAAAACTGACGTACAAAACCGTAAAACAATTTGAATATGGAACGCAATTGTTTCTATGTATTAACATATAACAAAAAAATATTCCCAATCTAAAAGGAAAATAATGACAAATAGAGAATAAGCATATTTATAAATAAAAATAAATAATAAAGCAACTAAAAAATTTTTACTATATTATACATAAACAAAATTAAATTAAATTAAATATATCTTTGTAGTGAAAATATAGCAATCGTAATTTTTTTTATACAACTTAGAATGGCAAACAAGCTGACGGCCCACCTGATGGAAAGTGGTAACCGTCGGCTATAGACATGAGCAGTACCATGGAAATAACAGAGTATACTGTTTCTCCCATGATACCCCCCATGCGTTGCCATTCCTGAGGACTCAGGTGTTATTCCTCTGTACCCAGTAAATTCACGCCATATCCCACCCTTCAAACCGAAACACAGCCATACAAACACAACTGCTTCACGGTTGAAACACGAATGGGACAGAGGTACGCAAGCAATCGACTTTTGTACAAAGTCTCCCTCTGGTAGAGGCGGTGGTGATATTGACGGGCCGTAAAATAAAAATGGAATAATTTAAATGCTCTCTTCTTAAATTACTCAATTATTTACCTAATTCATCGTAATTAATGATATGTAGTTTGAGGGGATGTCGTATGTGATACCAATAATTAAGAACAAATAGCATATGAATAATAATAAATATAAACATAGAAAACTAAAATTATAATAATATTTATATCTGTCACAATGGCACTTCAATTTAAATTTATTCAATTCAAGAATCGTATGTGTGTACGTTATGTGATATTGCTCAAATAGACACATTCTATCAGCATGGGTGAGCAATATCACAATATTGTTCACCTGTACTGACATATAAATACTAAGGTAATATATACAAGAAGACCAATCCCTGAAGACATTTTATTTCATTAGTTGTTATAAGTATTACAGCTATAAGCAAACCAGAGGAAGACTTTGTACAAAAGTCGATTGCTTGGGCGCCTCTGTCCTATTCGTGTTTCTACCGTAAAGCAGTTGTGTTTGCATGGCTGTGTTTTGGTTTGAAGGGAATGGAGTGAATTTACTGGGTACAGAGGAATAACATCTGAGTCCTCAGGAATGGCAACGCATGGGGGGTATAATGGGCGAAACAGTATACTCTGTTATGTTCATGGTACTGCTCATGTCTATAGGCTACGGTTACCACTTTCCATCAGGTGGACCGTTAGCTCATTCGCCATGTATCCTATCACCTTAGTGCGATATATAAAAAAAAGTTAAAAACCTTTAAAAAAAATATATGATAATAGCAAACGCTATAATGTATGGCACACGTGTCAGTCTCAATTAGTCGGTAACATAACATTATAATATGACCGATTATATTGCATTTTAAAATCAATAACATGCAAATTGTAAGCGTGGATAAAAAAAAACAAACTTGATTGAAGCATCAAGCAAACTTCATAAAAAATCAAACACGCACTCAAGCAAAAATTCATGTGCTTGATTCAAGCTGCTGGACGAACTACGAACCTTCTTTAGGTTACACTAGAACCTACGTGCTTGAATCGAGCTGCTCTAAGGGTTGTCACTCACATGAAATCCGTCGCCTCCTTCAGCAAGAAAACTCTGCGAGACGACTTTGTAATATTTGTCGGGCTGTAGAGTCTCGTATCTAGGGATGTCACACTCGATACACCTGACACTGACGTCGACAACCCTGTTGTTAACCGGTCGAGAGCCATCGAACACCGGTTGAAGTCCTAAATTCAACAATGCTATGCATAATTTAATGGGTTCAAATCAGGACTAATCCTCTTATTTAACCAACTTTAACTACTACAGTATTTTATTACTATCCTTCAAATTAAATATTTGGAGCAATAGAAAAGGACAAAACATGTCAATAGCTAATAGATTTATAAGTGAGAGAGAGAGGTCTTTATTCGTTTATTTTTTTATAATATATGGAACAAACTTGTATACGGCTCTCCTCATAGTAAGTGACTACCGTCGCCAGATAAGTTTAAATAAGGATACAAGTTGATACGGCAAACATTGGTTTGGTTCCCATTTATTTCTTATTAGGATAAAAAACTGACATATCTCTTAAATTGAAGATTTTCGAAATTTGAAGATCAGCGTGAATGAACATCGTAACATCATGACATGTGATTTTTATATTAACACTATACTCGTATCATGATTTGAACCTTATTTATTTATTTTTATTTATTTATTCTTTATTGTACACAAAAAATTACAACATATAATATATATAAAATAAAGATTACAAACAGCTTAACTCAGTTCTCTTGCAAATGAGTGGAAAGGAGCATTAATTATTGACCTTATTGTAATTAAGAAAATATTTTAACTATATTATAACAAAATAAGGTACAAAGAAATTATACGTAAATTATATACATATGTCTAGTAAATCATTAGATATTAAATAGTAAACAACAAAATCTTTAATACATCTATGTATAGAATAAATAAATAAAAAATATTTTAATATAGATAGGTATAAACATCAATTACTTAATACTACTACCGCATTCGAGTATTCAAGTATTCCCTCAGGTTGATTTGGAGAGAATGTTTCTAGCTAATGTTCGCCTTGTACAAGTTACGTATATTAAAAAATATGGCCATGTTATACTAAGTAATAATTTGCGGATTAAAAACTATAGTTAGCTTTTAGTGATGTTTTAAGAAAGACGCTGCTACCCATCCCCCCCAATATTAAGTTACCTTAGTCGCCTCCTACGACACCTATGGGAAAGGAAGTGGGTTATCCTATACCGGAGCCTACATGGCGAGATAGTCTATTTAAATTACAATAAATTCATATTAGTAATCGAACAATATTTTTTTTTACCTGACACTTGCAACATTCTGGCTCCTGGGTAGGGTACGTTTGCCACCGAATATTCCAGCATTTCTAGTATGTGATCACCTCTTAAATCAAACACTTCGACATTGTTCTCGAAAGGCGTTGTTAATATTACTGATTCATATGTAATATCTGTAAAATTGCAAATTGCATCCTTATTTATATTATGTACGCAAATGTTTGTAACAATGGATACATTTTTATACATTTGGCTGATGGATTACAGATGGATGGATGAGTGGATGGCTAGTTGTTTGTTACTCTTTCACGCAAAAACTGCTAAACGGATTTAAATTAATTAATTTGGTGCACAGGTAAATTAAATCCTAACTTAACACATAGGATACTTAATATATGATTCACGTAAACGGAATCGAATAAAGTCCGCGGGCTTGAATAAAGTCAAGTGTCAATTTTATAACTCATTTTCTCTATATTTCAGTTTAAATTATTACATGTCGATTTGTATCTATGAATAATAATCTAATGGTCGTAAAACCCAGATTTTCACTGTTTGATTATAGTTTTACTACTATAAGCAAAATAAGTCTATTTTTTAAAATAAAGGTAATATGATTTATTATATGTATTTTAGGAGCAGTTTTTACCGTAAAAATGAATTATACTGTCTTTTATTTTTCATTGATTTTACTAAGACGTTTATCTTTTTTTTCTGTCCTGTCTAAGACAGAAGATTGGTCTCCAGATAGTACTGGAACTAAGGGTTGTAAGAAAATAAGTAAACTCAGCATTTAGACATAACAATACAGGCATAAAACAACTAATAATAGATCTTAACTCATTCTATTCTCCTTCATAAAGGGGTTTACGTTCTTCATACTAAAGTAATTTTTTTATTTAATTTTTTTTATTTTATTTATTCATAAACAAAAATTTGTATTTGAATGTCATAGTAGATTAAATTAAAACAATATGTACATACTACCAGCTTCCATGTCCACCCTGATACCTCCTTGGTTGATGATGCAGAAATGTGCATAATGCCAGTTATTGCCCTTTGCTCTGTCCATCACCTGTATCATAAAATAAGTTATGAAATAAGTATAATTGGGCTTATATCTAATCTTACTGAAATTATCTATCAAATTTTAAAAACAACTGTTTTTTTTAATAATTCCGATTGATTATCAATAAATTTTTATCAATAGGTCTATGCGCCGCCTATACTAATTACGGTACATTTTACAAACATAATATCCTGAAAAGACTTTTATTTGTTTTTCTTTTTTTTACCTCATTTAATGACTAATTCATTTATTTAATCATTTTGTAATAAACCATACGTGCCTGTATTCAAAGATATGACTAGGTAAAAAATATAAAAGTGACTGTCTCTCCCCTTCGTTTTTAGAAAGGATTTTCCTAATTTCGAATCATATACATTAAAAATACGGATTTTGGAAGTAGGTAATCGCTTCTCGATGGCATATTGAGATAAAACTTACACCTTTTTCAAGTTAGACCCTCAGTAGTTTTTGTGTTGTGCCGGAACAAGCACACAAACAATCGCTGTGACAAAAATTCTAGAAATTATTGTTTCTGCTCCTATTGCTTTTTTAAGACCAAAAAATTTTAAACATCAATTTTTCTTATATATCTTCTATGTTCATACAATTTTATTATATTATTAAAATTTAATACTCACAGCATCCATAAATGCATCGCAAATTAAATTTCCAAGGTTGCATTCACTGCATGAGCAACGGGACGACATGTGGACCAATGACGAGCCAATTTCTTGATTAGCCTGTTCCGCAATTACAGGAAGGTAATAGTTTATCTTTTCTAGAACATCTTCGGCTGTGAAAATAACAATAATTATTATAAATATTTAGATAAATTAGAAATTAAATAATAAATCTGTCATTTAATTAATTATATTAAATATTTATTGCCACAAAGATAATTTAAAAAAAAAACAGAAGATGTACGTAACATTAAAAATCAAAACAGCAAAACAGATCTCGGTATCCGTAATCATGAAATATCGAATTTTCTGAGAATTCTCTAATCTCTTAATGTAGTTTAATACAAAAGTACACATTATTATGTCTATTCTGGAATATTTTTGGAGCTTTTCAATGGAAGACAATGAAGTACTAACCCTGCCTGTGTTAACGATATACGCTGGAAGAACATCAGTGAGAATATCAGGTGAGAATGAAACAGATAAGTTAGCTCATTGCGATGAATTCACCGGGAATTAACCACGATGATTTCAAAGGGGGAAGGGGGGGACATAAAAGACTACTTGATAGAGTATGTTGCAAGCAGAGATGCTACTAATTACTAAATATTTCCCATATTTCAGGGGTTGTGGACTAAAAGATTTACTATATGTACTGTAAGTACATATATATATCTACCTTGTTCAATTTCATTTCCAATATAATGCGGATTACCATCCCATCGTACAAGGTTCCCATCGTCGTCAAAAAACAATTTAATTTCACCTAAATATAGAGTGTGTGCTGCAGCCTGCACTATTAAAACCTAAAAATTAAAAGAAAATACATATAATATTAGGAGAAAAGTTAAGAAACAAAAAGAAAACAACTAAAGATTCGAATGTTTTGGTTAACTTCAGTTACTACAGACAGTTGGTTTAAGAAAAAGTTCAGACCAAATAGATTACATAGTTAGTTCAGTTCGATTAGTTCTCTTAGTTAATTTAATTTGGTTAGTTCAGTTAGTATAATTAGTTTAATTAGTATAATTTTTATTACATGTTAAATCTACTCCAATACTAGTATTCTAATTCATAAATCCCGCTAGGAAGGTCTTAACATCAAGCGAGCAAATCCTCATTCTTTTCGTACACCACAAATGGTGAACAAACACTGTATGGGTACTAAAATATGCCTAATAACATTCTAAAAGCATTGTTTAGTTGATCGAAAGTATTCGCAAATAATTTTTCTCTTTATAAGAACCAGCCTCGGACTTCACATATATTTGAAAAAAAATAGACTAGCCATTCCCGAGTTTTGTGATTAGATAAACGTTTAGCGTTATTTTTATTTATATACATTTTAGCTGCAGTTTCTGCTCTAACATCTTTTCTGTATCTTTTTCGAATTATATCTAATACAGATATAATAACAAAACTTAAAATAATAATTAAAGATTGTCCCTTACACAATTGAAGTATTTTTTTACTTCAATTGTGCCAAAACTTATTATTAATAAATTGTTATTTTGATCTAAACTACTGATCCGATTTTTATAAAACTTCTATAAGAATAATCTGTAAATATGTTCTTTCAGATAAAAAAAAAATCAATTTTTATTTTATACATTTAGAGACCCTCGTTCTTTTTGATGTCGGTTGAAAAAGAAACTCATTATCATCTATTACCGGTTTGCCATTATTTTCTACGATAACAGGATAAGGCCCTTCTGGGGTAAAAGCCGATGTGTCTGGCGGTTCACCATCATACAATAATGTATGACTATGACCTCCAACTATGATATCTATGTGAGGACCGCCATGAGCTGCTATCTCTCTGTGAACAAATATACCACAAGAAGCAAATCTTAATTTAAAATCTTTCAGAGGATAAAATATTAAATATGTCATAACTGGAATTGTTTTTAATATTACTATTTTTTAATCAGAAAATTGATAGAAACATACTAACTAAACGAGCTTTGCAGGACTTGATAACTTTATAGTGCACTTCTAAAAATGTATACAACCAAATGGTTAAACGAGTATATGGGATGGAGGAGAATACAGGCAATTTTTGTATTGGTCAGTAATCCAGACACTCGGATGCAGTCGCGGGTAAAAACTAGTTATCCTATAAAGATTTCTTATTTACTAATGATCAGTAGGCCTACCATGAAATGATTTCCGAAATTTCGGGGACGAACGAATCAGAAATTTGATGTTAAAATTACATAATATATGCCGTTTAAAATTATTTCAAATGTTAAAATGTATTTCCTCTAGACTATTAGGATAGGATTTATGATGAACAAAATGTTAAGCTCCATTTACTGGATCGATTTCGGTATAAACGAGAACACGAAATTGAGTCCGAAAATTCGGAATTTCATTTCATGGTAGACCATCTGATTTCGTACGAGTAGACAGAATTTTCGAAAATAATATATAGCCTCGTTCATAATGAAGGTGAAATTATTTTTCAAAATCGGTTGAGTAGTTTTTGAGTTTTTCCATTCAATTCATTCAAACAAACAAACAAAAAATACCAGTTGAAGACTTTGTACAAAAGTCGATTGCTTGGGTACCTCTGTCCCATTCGTGTTTCAACCGTAAAGCAGTTGTGTTTTAACGGCTGTGTTTCAGTTTAAAGGGTGAGATATGGCGTGAATTTACTGAGTACGGAGGAATAACACCTGAGTCCTCTGGAATGGTAAAGCATGGGGGGTATCATGGGCGAAACAATATACTCTGTTATGTCCATGGTACTGCTCATGTCTATAGGCGACAGTTACCACTTTCCATAAGGTGGACCGTCAGCTTGCTTGCCATTCTAAGTTCTATAAAAAAAAATCAAATATTTCCTCTTTATAATATTAGTATAAGTATAAATACTGAGTGAGTATACTTCTTTACTTTAAATTATTAAAAAAATTTAAATAGGAACCTATCTGTATCGAATCCACTATGTGACAATACAACAATGATATTTATTCCTTCGTCATGTAGTTTCTGTGCTTCACGTTTCACAGCTTCCACTTCATCGGTAAATACTAATTTTCCCGTTGACGCTAATTCCTGTAAAATAACTGTCATAATCATGTTATGTTGGGAGGAAAGGAATTGTTAGTAATGGAGACTAAGAATCCCATTGCAAGCAATATACCCAACCAGGTCGACCTCCTCGCGGTTCCCCCTGGAAACTATCATGAATAATTCCAGATGAATTCATCATGATGGACTAACTGGCCTGTTTTCATTCTCATCGATCACCCTTCACTGGTGCCCCGCCAGCGTATCCCGTTAGCGCAGGCGGGGTTACCATTCCATTTTCATCCAATAAAAAAAAATCATGTAATGTCACTACTTGAAAGGAACTTAATGACTATAAAAAACTGAAAAAATCATAAATAATTATTAGAATAATAAACGCAGCACAATGTACTACGTAATAGCAATACAAACACAAAAACGAGACAATAAAATTGTTACACTAGTGTGTGTATTTTATAAATGTGTGAACATGACAGTTCTAAATATATATGAAGTTGTAAAAATAGTAAAAATTTTATTTTAATTTGATATTTTTTCTACTAATTCTTATACATTTCTGATTATTCTATAATGCTGCGTTTCAAAATAAATGTTTGAAGCGTAATTAAATAAAAAATATGCAATTACGTAGTTCTTTTTTCTTATATGTGTTATATCCAGAAACAGCACACTTAATCCCTTTTCAAGACGTAAAAAAGTTGTAAAGTGATTTGTCAAATCAACTTTGAGCTTATATTGTGTAGGAGAGGTTCCTATGTACCTCTCTCGCTCTAACATAAGTATATTTTATTATGTTTTCTCTCTTTTACATTACTAATCTATATACTTTATAATCTACAATTAAAACATCTTATAAATACTTATATCATACGTATAAGATTTTTCTAAAGAGGTTCTAGCAGTAATATCACCAATAATAATAATTTTTAGTTCTTAATTTTCAAATATAATTCTAATATATTTTTCTATGCAACTTAAAAAGGCAAACAAGCTGATGCATGAAGCAGATTGGCCATCTGATGGAAAATGGTAACTGTCGCCCATAGACATGAGCAGTACCATGGACATAACAGAGTATACTGTTTCGCCCATGATACCCCCATGCATTCCTGAGGACTCAAGTGTTATTCCTCTATACCTTGTAAATTCATTGCCATATCCCACCCTTCAAACCGAAACACAGCCATGCAAACACAACTGCTTCGCGGTAGAAACACGAATGTTAAATTTGTATTTTGTATGACCTTTATATTGTCTTTTCTTCATCAAACAGTCATACTGATTTATGTCATTGAAAAATTTGGCAAACGATAGAATAGAAAAGTCAATATTTCTTTCATTAAAAATATATATTAACAAATCTTTTACGTACAGGTGTGCTAGCGATTATGACACCAATAATACCAATTTTGCGACCATCTTTTTCTACAACAATGCTTGGTTTGTATAATCCTTGTATCGTCTCTTCATCATCATCAATCATGTTGGCCGTAACCACGGGTGCATCTAAATTCTTCAAGTAAGGAACTACGCCATCAATGCCATTATCAAACTCATGATTGCCAAGGACCTGAAAGTTATTTAATAAAGAAAAATGTTAGGTAATTTAACTAATTAGGATCTCTAATTTGCCTTACAATTCGATATCTTCAGAATTGATCGTGGATGCAAATTCTTAAGATGTCAAGTTGAAGGGCGACACTGTGAGCACTGTATGTACACAACGGCTTAACAACACTACTAGTGGCAATAACACGACAAAGAGGTTCGTGTTCGCGTCACAGTGCTCATGACTAAGGATCACGAAATGATTCTGGAACTAGTGGAGCTTTTTCGATCTAATTAGACGTAAGTTAAATCGATAGTTATTAAATTAAAAAAAAAAAGAAATATATTTATTTAACACCTTTTTTGTGAAAGAGTACACGTGTTTTTTTTTTTATATAAAAATATCAATATGTATACATAATTCCACCAAGTGTTAACAATCACGAATATTAATATAAAAAGAAATTACAATATATTATAAGGAATAACTGTTAATTTAAAAAGGAATGACTACTTTTGACCGACTTCAGAAATGGAGGAGGTTCTACGTTTCACTTTATTTTTTTTTAATATTTTAATGTTTATATTTTTAATGCACGCTTACCAATTTTTTTATCAATTGTAAATCGATTTAATTTTTTTTTCTAATTTATTGTACTCCCGTTGTCACCAAATCAAAATCTGATCGTGGAATTCCAGAAAAATCGAGGGCAACCCTTAAATTTTATAGGTACCTACATATCATGTGCCACATATATTTTTATTTAATATTTTTATCAATATTAAGCTATTAATCTGAAAATATAGTACTTACATGGGCATCATGTGGTAATATGTTCATAAAATCTTGAGTTACGTTCCATCGTAAAATGTTATACCATATTGTTCCTTGAAAGCTGTCTCCGCCATTTAAGAGTAAAGAATTGGGTTCTTCTTTCAGTCTGTTCCGCACTAGAGTTGTCAGTCGAGCAAAACCACCTACGCATGGGGCTGCTTCAGGATTACAAATCGATCCAACTGGACTGATTTCCATGAACCTTTATAAGTGACAATGATCTATTTTATTTTTATTTAATACAAAAATTTACAGCTCTCTTAAAATGTAATTTATATGCTAAATCTCTTATGAATACAATCAATAACGGAATTTAATTATATAAATGTAAATTTTAAATCTATGTTAAGTGGGTAGTCTAAGTTAAAGTGGGTGTATGTGAAAATAAAAATAAGTGTCCATGAAGTCGGTTGATTAATCTATAAATGTTGCTGTGGTTTTCAATAGTATTTGTATGTTTAATTTTGTTTATATGTGTTTAATTTTTTTTAATTTTAGTATTGCCTAATTTTGTGTTTCGTTTACTTGTATTTTATTTTATGCATATTCTAGTGGCTACCAAATTACTATTTAAGTATATAATTATTTATTATTTTAGCTGTTTGTTTGCCTTAAATAAATAAATTTAAAAAATGAAATCAATGTTGCTACATTTCATTAATAATAGTTTCATGTCATTTTCTCTAAGAAATTTTACTATATTTTCATATAATTATTTATTAATTAACCAACAAATTAAACGTTCAAGCTCACAATTGCATATGTAAAAAATAATATGTGTAAATGTATAAGTTAATTGTAGGTAGATATCACTTTTTAGTATAACAGAATCGCAAATAAATTAATTTACAAAATTGTTATCAAATACGAGTACATTTAAAAATAATATCATAGCTATTTGCAATACCATGATTTGTAAATAGATAGACACCGTAGATATGGAGGTACCCATGACCCATTAATAACAACTACTTATTAATTTTCAACCAACTTCTAGATGTATTTTTTTTATACAAAGTGGAAAGTGGAAACTGTCGCCTATAAACATGAGCAGTACCATGGACATAACAGAGTATACTGTTTCGCCCATGATACCCCCCATGCGTTGCCATTCCTGAGGACTCAGATATTATTCCTCTGTACCCAGTAAATTCACGCCACATCCCACCCTTCAAACCGAAACACAGCTGCTTCACGGTTGAGAAACGAATGGGATAGAGATACCCAAGCAATCGACTTTTGTACAAAGTCTCCCTCTGGTTTTATATTTATTACCTCATTACTCCGTAACTTCTAAACCGATTTGGAAAATTCTTTTTTTATCTGAAAGGTAAGTATAATTTACAGATTGGTCCCATAGAAGTTCTATCCAAATAAGTTCAGTACTTGAATTTTTAGATAAAAATAACTAGTTTGAATATATCTGAAGTCTGTTTCTCTCTTTCTTTGAAGCTGTATTCATTCATAACCTTATCCACCTGATCCACGACACTTCCGCCTCAAAATTCCAAGACTACGAAATAAGGAAATCAAATGTACCTTGCATGAAAATCATTATAATGAAGTATGTTCAAGCCAAACAAATCCTCTTCCGCCCTCACAAAAAACAGTAAAGTACCAAAAATAAATATTCCTAACATTTTATATATTCACTATTAAAAAAATACACTAAATTCTAAAACTAAATTATTAATGTCATAACGTGTGTTATTGTACTAAATTATAATATTGGGTACATGAATATCTATTTGGTAATAAATTGATAAAAGCAATCTTCTGATATAATGATAAGTTGGCTCGTTTAAAATTCACATAGATAATTTAGTTCCAGATTTAGATATTAGAAGTAGTAGGCAAATTTTATTTAAAGGTAGTCGAGCATTCCTGATAAAAATACGCGTAGGTAAATTAATTGTATTACTATTTATTCTACTCCTTACCATCCAGTTATTATTTTGTTTAAGAAAACAACAACTATATATATATATATATATATATATATATATATATTGCCACTTTTCATTGTATATATATATATATATATATATATATATATATATATATATATATATATATATATATATATATATATATATATGTATATATATATTGTGAGGACTCGGATGCTATTCCTCTGTACCCTGTAAATTCACGCCATATCCCACCGTTCAAACCAAAACACAGCCATGCGAACACAACTGCTTTACGGTTGAAACACGAATAGAACAGAGGTATGCGAGCATGCGTTGCCATCCCTGAGGTCTCAGGTGGAATAATATTGGCTGGAAGAGATCTCTTTTAGAGATTACTCCACCAATGCTAACAAGTTGTTAAACTAATCGCTACATATTATATATACATATATATATCCGAGCATTTGACAATAGATTATGTTCCACGAAACAAATCCAATTAGACCAATCTAACAGTATTTCCTTTCGGATAAAAAAAATAATAATTTACCAAATCAGCTTACAAATGACAAATATAACAAATATAAAAAAAAATAATTACAATCAAATTGAGAATCTCCTTTTCTAAAGCCAGTTAAAAATAAGAATAGTAAGGTTACAGGTCAAAATTTATTTAATTAAATAGAAACTTCTGATTTATTTTTAAGCGTAATAATATTGCGTTTGAGGGGAAGGGATTGTTAGTAATGCGGACTACCAGTCCCATTGCTAGCAATATACCCTTACAGGTCGACTTCCCCGTGATCCCCCCTGGAAACCATCGTGCTGAATTCTAAGTGTATTTATCACGATGGGCTAACTGGCCTGTCTTTTCATCCTCACCTATCATCCCTTACTGGTGCCCCGCTAGCGTATACCGTTAGCGCAGGTGGTGTTACCATTCCATTATCATCCATTAAAAAAATAATATTGTGTTTTCCTCATTTTAAATAAGAACTATGCAATTGAATCGACCGACGCAAACATTTAGAATTAGCAACAGCTACAGTACATCCATAAAAGAAAATCCAGCTGCAATTTGAAGCGCAACAAAGGAAGACCACGATTTTCTCGTTCCTAATTCGAAGCACGCGAACTTCTGGTTTTTATCTCTAACAGCACTCGTAAAGACCTCGTTCGAGATAATACTTGCAACTACTCTACAGATGCAATAAGCTTGGATTAGCTATTATTCCTGGCTTAGTTCTATCAGCGGGCTTGGCTTACATCCAAACTGCCCGGTGTTACGTAGATGGAAGAATTGTGGTTGTAATAATGTTGAATAGTTATGTACGTGCATAGATATTAGTCAATATATGAATAAATATCGACTATACTAATACTTTGTACAAAAGACGAGTGCTTGGGTACCTCTGTCCCATTCGTGTTTCAACCGTGAAGCAATTGTGTTTGCATAGCTGTGTTTCGGTTTGAAGGATGGGATATGGCGTGAATTTACTGGGTACAGAGGAATAACATCTGAGTCCTCAGGGATGGCAACGCATGGGGGGTATCATGGGCGAAACAGTATACTCTGTTATGTCCATGGTACTGCTCATGTCTATAGGCAACGGTTACCACTTTCCATAAAGTGGGCCGTCAGCTTGTTTGTCATTCCAAGTTGTATAAAAAAAAATAACTCAAGAATGGCAATATTTTTGTTATCAAATATTCAATGAAATTCGAGAGAAGATTTTTATGAAGAGAAAAATTATAAAAAAAATCCTAGAAATATATTAACCCTCTTATTCATAAAAACTTAAACCTACAAATCTTTTAACCTTCAAGAAAAGAGCATATTCCTTTTTAAAAAGCCAGCAGCACACCTGCAATGCCGTTGGTGTTATGGGTGATCACGGCCGGCGGTAGTCACTTACCATCAGGCGATCCGCATGCTCGTTTACCTCATAAAAAATATATTTTAACTATCACTGTCTATCACTATTTTATTTCTTTCATTCAAAGTGGGAATTTAACTCAAAGAGACCAAACAGTTCAACAGCTAAAACAAGTTTATCAGAAGTGTGACGTTTTTATAAATGAGAGAGTTAGTCTATTTCATGTAAAGTGCGAGCCCATAATCTAATAATAAATAAATCATTATTCAAATTACTATACTTTTTTTATAAAACTAAATCTTAAATTGTATAAAATTTACCGTACCTACACTTCTAATATAAATTTTTTCCATAAAAAAACCAACTTCAGTTGTGACAAAACCAGTTTTTTTTTTACACAACTAATACAGCTGACGGTCCACCTGATGGAAAGTGGTAACCGTCGCCAATAGACATGAGCAGTACCATGGACATAATAGAGTGTACTGTTTCGCCCATGATACCCATGCGTTGCCATTCCTGAGGACTCAGGTGTTATTCCTCTGTACCCTGTAAATTCACGCCATATTCCACCCTTCAAACCGAAACACAGCCATGCAAACACAACTGCTTAACGGTTGAAACACCAATGGGACAGAGGAACCCAAGCAATCGAGTTTTGTGCAAAGTCTCCCTCTGGTAGTTATTTCGATGTGTACATTTATGTTATTACAAAGTAAGTGAATGTACAAAAACATATAAATAAATAAATAAATAAATAAAATGTTTTAATAATTAAGATTGTATTATCTCTAAAAAAACAACGGTAATTGTACTAAAACCAGATATTTTCGTTTAACTTTAATGAAATTTCTAAAGTATACCAATCTGTAACATATATAACTATACGTAAACAGAAAAATATAACTGAATTTAGTAGGTACCTATTTTTGAAAGTCGTTTGAAAATAGTCGCCTCCTCTTTTACTTCGAAGTGTCGGTAAGTTGGCAGCACTAAGATCTTAGTGTACACAGTCAATAAGTGCAACTTTTCCTGTTATCGGTAGACCGTTAGTAGAAAACTTCAAATAGTACCTACTTACGTTTGTTTCACACTGTTACAATTTATCGTTATTCCCTTAAAGATACTCTTAATGTCCTTTCTATTCGTAGACCTTACTAGTCATCATTTACTAGTCCTTATTAATGTTATAAATGTGCAAGTGAGTCTCTCGATATGCATTAATGCATTAGTATTCATTTATTTTATAATTTTTTATTTATTTTAATTAGTCAGAGATCGATGGCTAATATGGAAGGTTGTAAAACGTTTTGTTGTAATAGTGGTAGTCAGTCTTCGAGTGTTGGCAGTCATACACATACTAATTGTATAGATAGATAGAACATTTATTTGCAAGAAATATGGTAAATATAGAGATAGATAAAATAATATTAAGTCCACATATTTCGCCACAATTAGGCATGCAAAATTTTAAATACTTAAATATTTTAAAAATAACAATTCTTATAACAAAACAATATGTCAATTACAATTTCATGTCAATTAATTTAGAAGATCATTGTAGAACAATTAATCAAAATAAATCTAATCTAATAACTAATATCACGGTTATTTTTTGTTGAATTCGTTACGACGCACGGATCACAGGACGCACCTATCATCATCTCTTACTATTGCCCGCCAGCATACTATACATTCTATACAGCGTGGGATTCTTCAAAGGGGGGGGTAAAGAGGTATCTTCAGGGTTTAGAAAATGATTAAGAAAATTTCAACATTTTCCATTAAAAAAACTAAACCCAAAATTATCTACTCTCGAATGAAGTCAAAAACACAGCTATCTACGAGTATATAATATTATAAGAATCGTCAGAAATAAATAATACACTTGTAATGTTTTAATGAAACCAGCCCAATGTCAGACAACAACTGTTTTAATCATATTATTCAACTACCTTCAAACTAACTATACATGACATCTTTCCCTATATATAAAAAAAAAAAGAACAAGACATAAGAACTTATATCCCTAAATAAAATATATAATTGAGTACTTATTACTTATTTGCTTAAATATATACACTTTAAATACATAGTTACTTATCTACTACAATACAAGTCTATAAACAGTAAATAGGAATATATATTTTTATTAAATCTATAGATGAAAAAAAACCTTATCAAAAAATAAACATGTAAATGCAATAACAGTCCGAGTTTGTAATGCTTTATATGTACTTCTTATATACTAATTTATAACACCTTATTGCTAAAGAAATCAATATAATGAAATATAGTAGATGTAGTATGTTTTATACAAAAAGAGATATGAGTGTGTTCACTGAGAATGCATTCTATCTAATTTATTTGACTGTTTTGGCACGCTTGCGCGTAAGCGGTGGTTTAAGAAACATACTATCACTGCTGCTATTTGGTTGCGGGTTCGAACCCGGCGGTGTTTCAGCAGTGCGGTACGGTGCATCCACCGTGCCACCGATACATATGTCCGACCTTGTCTCAGATGTCTTTTGGTTTAAAGCCTTAGTAACCACGGCTGGTTCAGCTTTGTTTATTTCAAACTTTACTTCCGGTGGTTCACATTTGATTAAATGACGACGATTACGTCGATATTTGGTTCCTATTTTATTTTCTATAATATAAGAACGAGGCGTATCAGCCGTGCTTACTACAGTGGCCCTAGTACGATTTTTACCATCATTACATATTACTTGGTCACCTTTTTCTAACTTGCATAGCGTTTTACAATGCCGATCATAGTATCCCTTATTGGACTTTTGCTTATAGACCAAAGTATGATATTCTGTTTCATTTACAAGTTTTGGTTTTAATATTTGTACGCTGGCCGGAAGTTTACATCTTAATCTGCGACTCATTAACATCTGTG